CACCCGCACACATGCAGGAGTTCTGATACATTCACTGAAATGCTCGCAGTGCAAAGATAGTAATAACAATACTAAAACGGCAGTAACTACAATACTATTAACTAAAATAATAACAATAATAGTCGTAAAATCAGTGCGTTCGGTTTGTTTACGGTTGACGACAGCAGAAAAGACAATTTTAGGCAAGCGATGAAAAGAAGCCAATACGCGTTTGTTTCAGCTTGTAGCCGATAGGTTGGACAGAATGATTAGTGAATAATGAATTCGAAAGGAAGCAATCGTGGCTTAATTTTTCATGCATTTTTCTGAGAAGTTTGAGGAAAATCACGAAACGCCTCGGTCAGGAGAGTGGGTCTGCGGGTTGAGATTTGAAACAGGACAGATATTTGTCCCTGCTATGCGACCATAACCGGCTTTAAAGCGCAAAAGCGGTAATGCTAACCGCTACGTTGTCGCTTCGTAACCGCTGAGTAGGCCTGCATAAAGCGATCACTAACATTGGCCAATGACAATAAATGTAATTATTTCGGGGCAGTTTATTCTTTAAAATACAAGGCGGAGAATGGGGGCTTTCACCCTTAGAATATACTTTGTGTCTCTCAGTAAATCAGCACGTTCAATTTCAACTTTATATGATGTAGAGTTTTTACTGGATCGATACGAATCTAAATTAAATTTGTAACGTAACTTTAAATGTAAACTCCTAAAACCAAATTTAATTTAAATTCGTGCATTAGTGTGCTAGGTGAAATATGTTTAGACACGCCACCCCCATTTTTGCGTTCATGTCAAGCACTTAATATAAGGAAGAATTACTTAAACACAGCACATTACTGGATCAAACTCGTGTGAGATACGTCAACATCTCACCCACAGAATAACCCTACGAGATACAGTATTTAAGAAACATTTTAACTCCACGTAAAGTTTTAAAACCGCAGCAATGTGTAACACATTATGTTTTACTGCTCCACATGGGTTTGGAAGATTTTCCTTTCGCTTTGTAAACAATGAGATTGTGGTTCCTGAGGAATAAATAAATCACACCCAACTTGTTTATTTTTTCCGTCGGACATGAAACGATTATATACTAACAATATAAACCCTAAATAACTGGTAGTTGTAGAACACACTCACTCGTACGCGAGTTGATTATGCAAACTGGATAGCAATAGAACTTTATTGTAATTTAAATTAACGGACTTCAACATTTTCTAAATTCTTAAAATTTTCTCCTGTGCAGTTCCTTTTTACTCATTTGTACAGGTAAATGAGAATACGAGAACTTTAATATATCGATACTGGTAATGTTCTGACATTATATTGTTATTGATTTATGTGAAGAGCCAACTTCAGATAACTCAACGGCAATGTATAAAATATCTTTACTTTCCTCACAGTTGAAAGACTAAATAAAAAAATGTCTTAACGTAAGACTTGATTAACTTTAAATGTGTTTTTTCCAGAAGCTACTATGCAGCCAGCAGGACAATTTCGGAGATTTCAGGTTGTCATTGCGCCGAGTATGTAGACTGCTGTCTTCCTCGCTCTGATGAAGAAGCCAGTAAGTACCACTGAAGAGACGGAAACTTCTACCAGATTACACGAAGCAACATTCTTGAAGTCTCTTCATATTCATCGCCGCGAGAACTTGAAATCTCATCTCCTTCCCAATAACACATCCAAATATCTAACAACATTGCAGTAACCGAGTAATTGTGTCGAATAAGATTAATGGATTATGCACGGTACATTGGGAAGGAGTGAGTATGAAACTGCAGTAACCGAGTAATTGTGTCGAAGGTACATTGGGAAGGAGTGAGTATGAAACCAGCGGGGCATTCCTCTGAGAGAAGCCCCAGCTTGGTGAAACTCATACCAGGGACTTTTGAGCAGAAGTCACACGAGTTTACCATCCGAAGACGAAGGTGTCATAAAGATACGTTAAGCTAAATCGTACTTGTGCGTAATCACTACTCCACGGATATGTGTCGGGAAATGCAGGTACTACTACGTAAATGGAAGTGTGTGGTCAGGTTGAAGCTCCGTCTATCATTCATACCCACTACAAAGGAGGCTTGGACGAAGTGGACAATTCCTGCGTCTACCGAGAACTGAACCCTGATCTAACCTTCAGCCAGTCATTTACTGATTGAGCTATCATGACTCTCACATTTAGATAGAAAAGTCTATATAATTCGCACTGATAGAGAGCCCTTATAATGCCAAAAGGCTTTTTTTTGGCTGGGGATGAGATACACTGCAGCACAATCTGAACATGTTGGGGTAGAGAGCGGTGATTTACGACAGACACCCTCACTCACGTACTAACCCTCAAAGGACAATCCCACCTGCTCTCTCTGGAGGCGATATATTGCTAGAACGAGCTTAGTCAGGTTTAACTCCACACCTTATAAGATCACAGCAAATTATACGAATCCAAATGAACCAAACGGCTCTGGCCATGTTCAAGTCCCTAATCCAACTGTTGTAGAAATATTCGTCATGAGTTCGCAGGTGGTGGAAAGGCGGATGTGGGGTTCTAAATATCGAGATATCGGTAAGTTTTCCGTCACATCAGGGTTTTCTGATTAATGTATTTTAAAGTCGGGTCCACCTGGTGCAGAGGTTAAATATGCGTAGAGCTTAGTAAAGCACCAGGAACCAATCTCAGGTCCAGTCAGATTCACTGATTATTCGAGGTACTACACACATAAAACTACAATCCAGTTGCACTCGATCAATACTTCTACATACTGTATCAAGGTCAATTTTAATATTATTTTCCCACTTACACGTAGAACTTACAAGGGGTCTCTTCCCATTAAAATTATTACACAATTAAGTATGCATTTCTCCTGTTTGTTTTAAAATATACTGGCCATCTCATGTTAAGCAAATCATCCTAACACTATTTGGGTGAAGAGTATAATTACGACGGTAAAAAATTGTAATGTTCATTTCTTAATTAACTCCAGTCCTTTATTATTTGATTTATCCCAGTCTAAATATTTTCCTGTGCACACATGCAGTCTTGTTATCTCTCAGGTCAAGTTAGTTTGGGAATGCTCGTTACCATTCGGTTTGCAATCCTTTGTCTTCTGGTTTAGTATCTAAAAAGCTACGATTTAAATATACAAAATTATGTTACCTGTTATTTTGTATGGGAACAAAACACTCACCCTGAGGTAAAAACAGAGGCCAAGGGCACCTCAAAACAAGGTGCTGAAAAGAACATTTTGATACAGGAAGAGACAGGAGGCCGGTGAAAACTCCATAATTTGCAGTCTTCATTAAACATTATTAGTGTGACCAAATCAAGTAGGATGAGATGGATATGTGATCACATGGGACAGATGAAAAATGCTTATAAAATGTCATCAGAAAACATAAAGGGAGATGATCACTTGGATATTTAGATGCAGATGAAAGGATAATACTGTATTAAAATGGATCTTATATTAAATTTTCACGAGGAAATCTTTCGGAAGCTTCAGAATAAGACGACATAAGAATATAACAAGTTCTACAAAACCAGGCCGTTTGAATTTGAATTGTATTTAACTGCTTTAGGAATGTATTCTGCAATGGTATGAAATTTATTTATTTCTTACTTTAAATATCCCTGTCCCGCACATGAGACATGATGAGTAACAACACAAACAGAAGAATATAACACTGTTGTCGGATGTCGTCTGGGTTTGTTGCGCCGTGTAGTCTGGTAGAAGTTTACTGCTACAGCAAGGACCTCTGAAACGTCGGCATACTTCTACCAGATTACGTAGCGCAACAACCCAGAAGACAGCCATCTTCGGACTCACAGCCGTGAAAACCTCAAAATCCTACCGTTGTCGGATATTCATTTTAACATCAGATGTCGATGTGCGCAGCTGCAGACCGGAATAGTCACGGCACGTACCGGAGTAACAGTGTAACCATAATTCATAAACAAAACTGGCAAACTTGACTTGGCCAATGCTGCTTCTAGGCGTACAGCACTCGGCACTGATACGAGGGACCATCACATTCTAGGAGGGCCGCACGAGCGCCAAGCACTGGGTTGTGTTATTGCGTAGTCAGTTCACAAGAATAACACATTTCCTCTCTCTCGCACGTAACTTTCCTTTATTCTAGAAAGATACTAACAATGGACAGAAAGCAAGTAGTAAAATCTGATAGAAACATAAGGAATATAATTCCCAACCCTTAATCTAGGGGAAATTACGTCTTGCACCATTAACTTGTAGTTTTCCCCAAACACTTGTCTAAGACCAGAGAAACAGTATCTAACTTCTCTAAAAAACATTACATAATGTTACTCTATTACATCTTTCAGTTTGTATTTCACATGTTCGGAGCATTCTGGCGTCGGCTATATAAAATTGGTGGGAAGTATCTTTGTCTCTCCCATGCATCAGTGAGAAAGCTACACCTTGGAGCTAGTGTCAACACAACACAGAATTTCGGCAATTTCTGCCGGGATTAAAAAGAAAAATACTTATCATAAATAACGTTAAAAGGAAAATACACGGAAAGGTAAAAGAACATATACAATATATCGGGATATTAACGCCGTAAAAGAATTGCAACGTTAGCCAGCGTCCTAAAAAAATATATTTACGAACAGGAGACGATAAACGTAAATGAATAAAAATACTGATCTTCGTAGAAATATATAAAAACATTTCATACTTGGATACATGTGATTAATTCATCCTACTTTGCTTTCTATGCCATTTCTGCACAGAAGCAAGCTATTCAAATTCATTTCACTGGACTTTTTACATATACGTCTGATGCCCGCTTCCACTCTACAAGCCTTATTCCCCGTGTTCATGTACGAAGTGTGAGTCTCCTCATAATCACTCTATGTTTCTTAAAACATTATCACCATTTTGCGCTAATTTACGCTAGAAAACAATTAAATTTAGTGAACATAAAGAAAGGACCGAACTACTGATCTTCTTTTAGGAGTGACTAGAACTTCACTTCTTATCAGAACCACAGATAAGACTCGGGTATGAAACATGGCTACTTTAATAAATAATCGAGGGGTTTACTACAAAATATACTGGAAATACCTGAATTATGATTATGGCGATATACAAATGACACATTTATAATGTTAAATGGTCTTCTAGGTGGTGTACAAAACCACCTACACAACTGCGTGACATCACAAGGCCACAAATAAAAACATTCAATGCAGTAAGAACCCCGAATCACGTTCGGCGGATTCCGGTTAATCGGCACGCATCGGGATTAGGACACTTTGGCCCAACTGAGCGGATGCCCCGATTAACCGGAATCTACTGTATTCATCAGTTGCTGCATCAGATTTATGGAGAAATAACTCAGTTTTAAGGTAAAATGAAATGTAATAAAACAAGTATCTAGTATTTGAATACTAGCCATTCTTTACAGAAAGCAAAGTTGCTTCCACGTTGAACCACGAAAGTGAAGGGGATGTACAGCTCCGTGCTGACCTCTAGGGTAGGAGACGCCTTTCCAGCAACTAGTGAATGTGTGGAGCTTTACCTCCACATTTTCACCATCACAATTTAATGTGTGCCATTTTCAGGAAGGGTATGAAAATGAAGCCATATCAATACATGATAAAACTCGTTTCATAAAAATTTACAAACACTCTAACTGTTATGAATGAAATGTTCTCTTTTCTTCATGCAGTGAAGACGAAACAAACAAAGGCAAAATTATTGCTACGTAAAACTTAAGAGTAGGGGAAACTTTTCAGTTAACGGGACACACTGGGCAAAACCAAATGTACCATTTTACAACATTTTGTTTTCTTTGTGGATTGTCAATTTAATCTTCTCTTTTTTTAGTTTTCATATCAGTTTGTCAACTCACGGTTTAAATGCTATAAATATTTTGTGAAACTTGCGGAAAAGTTCCACTGAAATTCAACACGGAATGATTTCGTTCATATCCATGTTGTTATCGTTTTCATTCCTCCATCTACTTCTGTCCTTTGACCCACGCTACCTTCCAAACTGTTACTACAATGATTTTGTAATCCATATCAGCACTTCTAAAATCTGTCTAATGGTAGCAGCACTTGTAAAAAAGGATAATTTGCACATGTAGCATCATTATTTCACATAAAGTACACCACATTCTCTTATTTTGTGCAATTACAATAGTAGTGTAGTTGCATTTGGAAAGGTTTTTGAATTAAGATTTAATGTAAAATAAATAAAATATTTATTTATTTAATTTTGAATGTCATTTTTCAGATGGCACTCTTTTTATCACAGTACGGTAAACTCTTGTTTTACAATTTGAATATCCGCCGGTTTGAAAATTTTTGTAGTAATTTTGTTTTCCCCAAAAATCATGGAAATTTCTATACTGCGATTAATAAGAAAAATCCGGAGGGCACTGATGTTGGACGATGCTCCAGGACATCCACCCACCACACATCGGAATGAGTTAAATATCTGCTACCAAACACCACCTCCATTTTACAACCAATGGACCAGGGCAACGTAGCAAATTATAAAGCCTACTACCTCTGGGAAACATTTCTTCTTCTTCTTCATCTATGGCTCTCCGGTCCGTATTCGGTCCACGGCCTCCTCAATTCTCCTCTTCCAATTGCAACATGTCCATCAATGAATACTGGATGTCCTAAAATTTCATGAAGGGCATCAACGACGTCGGTGCTGCGTGGGAAGAGGTCACATCAACTTGTACGAATACAGTGGTGGAAAGTGCGGCCCGAGTGTGTACACACTCAGGATTTCAGAGAATTTGAGGAAGTGCCAAAGATCGCAATCGAAGTTGCCGCAAGCCGCAATTGTTCGGGAGCTGGGGCTCGACAGAGCGGAGCCTGATGATGTGACTGAGTTGTCGGAGAGCCATTCTCAGCCTCTCACAAGTAAAGAACTGGAAGATTTAGCCGTACAATCGACGAGAAGAGCCCGTTTTACGGTCTATAGAAACCCGCAACCTATAGGAAATTCTGGCTGGGATCGACAGGTACTTGCAGAAGTTAGGCGACACCGATCATGACTGGGAACGGAGCTGGAACCCATCTCATTGAAATACGTTATAATTTCTTTAACTTTCGCCAATTTGATATGCACCGGCATCTTCAGGAACCTAACCTTGGTGTAAAACAAGGTTTACCTGTACTTGCTTTGCCTTTTTGCATTCACCAAAAACTGCCAATTCAATTTAATTACCGAGTTATTTCACATTTACTGGCGTACGCGCTTGTTTCACAGATAAATCTACAGCCCATTTTGAGTTTTTTTTTGGTCTATTTCTGTCATCTACTATCTGCAAAAATTATAAGAGACGTGACAGGATAATATTAATGGCTTGCTAGAATGGAAGCAGTTGTGGCACGTTCACCGGCTCTTACTTGGAGAAACTGTGGAAAAGCATGAAAATTTTCAGTGAAAATGGAGCACGGGACGTTCCGAATACAAAGTAAGACTGCCAACTATTTACCTGCATTTTGTGAGCAGTGTGACAAACAATCATACCCGTTACTTCGGTTACCACTAGACAACAGCCTGTAACTGGACTGTAGTGTTTCTGTCAGTTCTTACACTACGGACGTTCCGAGCAACGTTGACTGAAACAAATGAATTACCTGCTACACTATAGCATGGAGAATCAAAAAAATTCTTGCAATTAGGCTGACTATATGACATAGGGAGGAGAAGGAGGAGGAGGAGAAGAAGAAGGAGGAGGCGGAAGAGGAGAAGAAGGAGGAGGAGGAGAAGAAGGAGGAGGAGGAGAAGGAGGAGGAGAAGAAGAAGGAGGAGGAGGAGGAGGAGGAGGGGAAAAAGAAAAAAAAACCCGACAACTTTGTCACGGATCATAGCAGGACTTTTCTGATGTTTTAAGTTGGATGACACTTACTCCATGGTAATCATTCATGCCAGCCAAGAATCAAGTCTCTGCAACATTCTCACTGGCATTACAGAGTTCAACTGCGTGCCAACAACCACGTTGACACGCACTGGGAAGAGCTGCATGTGTACTTTTCTCGGAAGTTACGACGGAAGAAGGTAGGCGGGAGATGATTTACCTTCGTCACACATGTCCATCTCTCAACTGTTGCTATGTTGCTGGTACATGGGATGCTGTTGCTGCTGGGGTGAGTGATGTTGTGGTGGTTGTTGAGGAAGGTGTTGATTGTGTTGGGGTGGTTGCTGTTGAGGTGGTTGCTGGTATGGTACTACCATCACTTGAGGAGGAGGCGGCGGCGGCGGCGACGGCCCGTCATCTGGATGGTGTCCTTCGGCTTCGTACTTACCTCTCTTGAACCGACCGTACAAAGATGAGTAAGGTAAATTGTAATGGATGGCTGCTTGGTTGATACTCATCTGTCCAACACGAACGGCTTCTAGGGCCTCGCCCATGGCATCTTCTGACCACGGTGTCGGATTTGAACGCGATAACTCGATGCCTTCCCTCTTGCAACGGCCATATAACGTTCCAGTCGGGATACCAAACTCTGTTGATGCTCTCTGGACTGATGTAGCGCCAGAACGGATGGATTCTAAAGCTCGTTCAAGATCATCTGGACTCCAGGTGGTAGGTGCTGCATTGAATGGCGCAGCTAAACGGATTCCCTCGCGTCGAGCTATCTTGTACAGGGTGCTACTTGGTATACCTGTCATGCATAAAAACATTGTTCTAATATGGGGGAAATTATGCTTAAAGCATTCTTATATATATTCTTTACTATAAAATCTGGTTTCTAAAATATGTAAAAACAATTCCTTAACCCAAAATATGTAGCAAAATTTATTGAAGCAGATTTCAAATTATTCACGCATCATTCTATACAATCATTAATCAATTCACTATCACTGTGTCATTGTTATTTTTTATTCTGTTGTATTGTAGGCCTACCATATTTTCAGTTGTGGCATAACGGAACTATGCTTTTACTCGACTTCCACAATCAGAACAACAACACAATTAAAACAGAAATTAGAATGGACATTTTTACTTTATTGCACGCACTCCCTTATTTTTAAATAATTTGGTCTATATGACAGAAGCTAAATTTTAGTGCCAGAAGCAATCTAATTCATAGGAATATGACACTAACCCAAATTCTGCCCAAATCTTATTTTGCACCACCACTAAAATTTGCAGTTAGACTTTTGAGAACGAACATGCTGCACCAAAAACGAATGTCAGCACTGAAAATTAATATCAGCTGAAATGTGACACAATATGGACAGCAGGTCACCACCCATTTTTAAACATAAAAAAATTAACAGACTTACAAACCTGAAAAATGTCAAGCTTTATAAAACAAACCAGATGTAACTAATAAGCAGATTAAAGGAACCTCTAGAGAGATTAAAATACTTTGTTCTGCAAAGTGAAGAACGTGCCAACAAAGACCAGGAAGATATGGACGGCGATAATGAAACTCACCATATGCTTTACTAGCTTTGTTGGCTGAGATTGTTCCAGTTCTTAATGCTTCCAGTGCATTATTAAGATTTTCTTCTGTCCACGATTTTGTGGGGCCTTCCTTCTTAGGCGTGTCTATGCCCATACGATGGGCTCGCTGCCACAGCGTGGTGGATGGAATACCGTACGTTGCCGATGCCTTAGTTAAGCTCATATTGTGGTTCCGTAGAGCATCCAGAGCTAGCTCCATGTCTTCTTGAGTCCACGTCTTTGGTCCACCTTTCCCAGCATCACTACTCACATCTACAAGAAAGAATGTCAAAATATTAGTTTTAATCTGTTTGCTGCTTGTGCATGTTGCTACATGACTTCAACAACTCCCAGCTACCTCAACAGCTATGTGAATTTCTACAGAGACCACTGAACTGATTCACTCTTATGTTATTTCTCAATGCTGTTTCAACTGCAGAGGTTATATGGTGCCAAATGAGATGGGAGTTTGAAAGGATTTTAGAAGGAGGGTGTAGCTTCTCTGCAAGTACTATGTAGGCCAGTGGTCCCCAGTGGGTGCCTGCCAAAGCTTTTTTTTGTGTGCCATCGTTGTTACAGAAAGAGGTTATACTGAATAATGAAGGCCGTTCAACCATGAACACTATAAAATCAAAGCGCAGATCTCGACTTACTGATGGCCCATGTTGATGATTGTTTGCAAGCAGCAACATCATCCCACACTCCCAAATTTGAAAAACTGGCCGATGAAATGCAGCGCCAGATATCACACTAACTTCCCACTTGAGTAATATTAATTGTACTTATAAAAGTACGTATTTTTGATTGCATCGTTAAACGTCGTGTCGTTTTGTGTATTATTTGGTGTCCGTATCTTATTAGTCCAGAGAAAAGAAAATTTGGCTTTGTTAATTGGTTGGTGTCCGCCACGATCTCATAAACTCTCAAATGTGCCCGTAGGCACAAAAAGGTTGGGGACCACTGCTGTAGGCATTTACCTGAAGAAGGTGAAAGAAAAATCAAGCAAACCTCAATCAAAATAGCCGCTTTTCTGAATCTATAAATCTGGCATGTGCCTTGATGCCATTGTGTATGGGCACAGGGATGGCTTTATATTTGTGATTCTGAACTTTACTACTTACCTGAATGCCCTGATGATGATGGGATAAGGCCCAGGAGCTCTGGTGTGATCATCATAGTATGCATTGTATGTTCATCTTCACCCACACTTTGCTGCAATAGAGCAGCACCATTAAGGTTCTGGTAGGTAGGACTCTGGAGAAATGCCCAAAAAATTACTACATCAAACATTCTTTTCCGATAAAAACAAGTACAAGCTGATTAAAATATCACAATACAACAAATCAATACATTTCTTCACGGCTTGAAAAACATGCCGATCGGCACGCACGAGGTAAGTTTACAGGTGTGGACGCAGATACTCGCAAGTCAATAATATTAACAGGTCTCATATCAATTAATCGATCAATATCTCTTTTTTAAAAACATGACGCTAATATACTGGTGCTACCTATCCAGCACTTGTCTCTTATATTAGCTGTGATGTGGCCAAGCAAAAATGGTTTAAGTGCACAAAAAGAAATGAGCGGATTACAGCATCATATATACACATATATATAAAGATGGGGAACTTTTGACCAAACAACTCTATTTCCACAATATATATGCATGAAGTTTTGACATTGTATTATCACCAATTGTTTTTATGTGAAAAGCTTACCTCACAGATACTCCAATGAGAATATTTTAAAAATATCTTCATTTATCTTTTTGTTAAGGGGTTAATAATAAAATAATGATATGATAACAACGACAATACTCCACTTAATGGTACCTGCACCTTGTCGTGGTGGTGGGGCTTGAGTACCTCAGTGGTAGGGCCTCCCTAGCCAGATTGGTCGAGGGGGAGAGGTCAGACTAAGACAGGTACCCTGGTCCTCCAGGTTGGGGGTTCGTCGCAAGACTAACAACCTTGCTCCGTAAAAAGGAAGATGTTTCAAAACCTCAATCAAAGCCTCGGACAGACGGACCTAACAGAGGACCGAATGGAAGAGGAGAACTGAGGAGGCCAAGGACCTAATACGACCGGAGAGCCATAGAAGAAGAAGATCAACTACAATATCATCTCAGGTTTTCCACATATGTGAAAATTTGGATTATGATCCGAGTTCTGATGCAGTTTAGTCTCGGAAGAACTCATTATCTCCATCTTCTGCCATGAAGACATGTTAGCATGTTAGTAACCATCTATGATACTACACAGGACCCTAACACAGATAACATTCCAAATTATGATGATTGCTATGATGCATGCTTTACAGACTGGTGAAGAGCATTTCATACAATTTTTCAAGCCCCAGCTATCTTCCTGACCTACGAGTCATAATATTGACAATGATTATCACATGGGTTTGGTATTCAAAGGGTTCCATATGTGATCACAACTGCTGCCACTTACGATATGAGCAGCAGGAGAGACTGTGCCAGCAGACATAGGTTTGCTGGAAAATATCAACAGTCACTTGCTGAGAGATTTACTTATGTACTTTTACTGTTTCACTGTTCTACATTTTTATATTCAGCAGCATTGAACTTGAACTCTCATGCGTGCAGCAACCTACAAATCGACCAAAAAAAAACCCCTTAGTGGACTTGACTAAGTTACCATTCGGAGCCAGAACTCAGTGGCCTTCATAAAATCAGGGGATGCTAATTATCCAACACTGCAATGAAGAATTCTGTGTTTATATTTCACAAATTTCCACACAAATAGCATGTTGAACAAATAGATTTCATCTTAAGAAATACAACATACTAACGTGAAAAAGCAAACAATGTTAAAATTTCTAATAAAGAAGATAACATACTTACCCTATCAGACATGTGACTGTCAATATCAATTGTTTCTGCCTGTTCCATTGCTCTCAATGTCTCAAACTTAACTTTAACATTTTCCTCATCTCTAGTACCTTCTGAAGTATCTATAAAAAATATAGAATAATAGTAAATAATACTGAGACACAATTTATTATATATATAAGGCTGGGGCTACATGACCGTACAAAGTACGTCCGTTGTGACGAACATCACGATGTCCGTCATAGAATTATGATTTGTAAGTACAGACAATAATATTATAATTTTTTTTCTAAATCCTTTCAAGCTGCCACGGTAATTAGCGCTTGTGTGGTGTCCTCACCTAAGTCCGTACAAAAGTATGTCCGTTGCAACGGACGTACTTTGTACGGTCGCGTGGCCCCAGCCTAAAATGGATGATGATAGCATCAGTTATTAAAAAATAAAATGGCTTTGAAGATCAGGTCTTGGGAATCCTTGGTGGGGTCACAGACAACCATGAGATAGATTCCTTTCTCCCTTCTTAATACCCAATTGAGAATCTAGCAGAAAAAGTTTGAGGAGCCACTGACACAACTGTACATATGTACATAAATATCACTACAGCAATGGAACTGAACTTACCTGTCAAACCCCTGTCCCTGTCGTGGGCCGAGCACTCATTCATGTCCATGTCTTTGACTAGTGTGGCTGCCGGAGCGGGGGGCTGGGCCTCAGGGGGGATGTCCACATCTGTTGTGTTGCTAGAACTGTGGCTTGTCCCTTCCATTACGATCTGTGGCGGCTGCGCAAGCCCCCCATGGGGCGCCATCACCCCCGCTGTCGGCACTGCCCCATTCCCCAACTGCCATGAAACACATAACACCAACACAAGCTTTGATAACCATCGGCCAGAATTGTGTCACACAGTTTCTCTTGTGGCAGGGGATGGTAAGTCTATTTTGACACAAAATTTTAGTTTAGTTAGCAGTTCTCAGATATGCCTCAGAATTATAAAATTACCATTTTTGAAGACATAATTTCTTTTATTTTCATATATTTTTTTCTCTAAAATTCTTAAATTTGATAAATCACTTCTGAGAATTATTAAGTCATGTATTACTTAGATGAAGAGCTTGTGCACTGCAAAATTCTAAGCTTGGGAGTAGGAGGATCACACAACGAAAAGCATTACAACTAGTAACGTAAAACAAAAATATTAATTTCCTGTATGAGATCTCAATATGTAACTGCAGCACTTACTTAGCTTACAAAATGTTCTAGGCTGCAGAGACTGGGCCCAATGAGAAACATACAATGATATGACAAAGACTCATTTGTGATCATCCATAATTTGTATTGTTTGCAATCTTGAATATCACTCATCACCAATTAATTCGTCCAGAATGCAAATTACACATTACTTTAGGTTGGAAAGCATTAAATCAAATGGAGATGTAATGTTAGGGGCAGGGATAGAAAAGTGTCTGTAGTACAATATTTTTAGACAAGATTCAAGGAATGGAAATTCTGATAATTAGGGCTGTAAAAAAGAGTTAAAGAAAGAACCTAGCATATATACTTTTCTCTTAAATGCTTATATTTCAAATTAGAAGACAGCTTAAATCCCCACCACCAAACACTGCCATCAATGATGTATATTTTTTAAAAATATATTAACATGCAGTAGTTCTATGTTTTCCCCACATCAAAAGCAACAGCTATAATGGTATTACTCATGGTAAAGAATTATAAGAAAAGATTACTGGAAGCTAAAACAAGAGAAACTTGGAGATAAAATCTCTTTTCTTCCAGCCCTTGAAACTATTCTCATACTTTTATAAACATATCCAAGATTATTTCCAGTTATCAAACACATTTAAAATAACCGACACACAATAAATAACACACATTAGAGACTTGCTAATATCACCATAAAAATCAAAAGTGTACCTCACAATTTAGTTAAATATGGTGGATGGACCATGATACATCCTCAGTGCGAAGACAGAACATTTCATTGCTAAATTCAAAACAAATGTGTATATAAACAAGAGTGACATCTTCCTGTAGTCTAAATCACCAGAAATAAAATACCCACACTACCCATACTTATAGCGGTACATATTTTCCAAACTGACACATTAAGGCAGTGGTCCCCAACCTTTTTGTGCCTATGGGCACATTTGAGAGTTTCTGAGATTGTGGCGGGCACCAACCAATTAACAAAGCCAAATTTTCTTTTCTCTGGACACCAAATAATACACAAAACAACACGACGTTTAACGATGCAATCAAAAATATGTAGTTTTATAAGTACAATTATTATTACTCAAGTGGGAAGTTAGTGTGATGTTTGGCACTGCATTTCATCGGTGAGTTTTTCAAATTTGGGAGTGTAGGATGATGTTGCTGCTCGCAAACAATCGTCAATATGGGCCATCAGTAAGTCGAGATCTGCGCTTTGATTTTATAATGTTCATGGTTGAACGGCCTTCATCATTCAGTATAACCTCTTTCCGTAACAACGCTGTCACACAAAAAAAGCCTTGGCGGGCGCCACGTTGGGGACCACTGCATTAAGGTTTATATTAACTGACATCACAATTTATTTAATTCATATTATAACTCAGCTTTGAATCACAAATCTCAGATAATGATTTGATTTTTTAAATGTTCCATCATGAGATGAAAAATAAGATTTTGATTATGCTTTTGATCTGTTTGAACATTCACATGTACATCTTAATGAAACATACCCATTTGATTATGTACATTTGTTCAACTTACAAGTACATAATTGGTATCGGAAGTGCTACTTCACTCCACGAATCTTGTAAATCAGGGGTTCTGAACCTGCAGCCCTCATGTGGGACTTTGATATATTTTGTGTGGCCCACATACCTGTTACAAAAATTGTGTCACTCTGTGTGATGAAAAATAGTTTCTTGATATCAGAAAACATGTTTTATCAATCTTTCCAACTATCCAGCTTAGTGAAAAATATAGAAGTATGACATGTCTTACTGACAAACACTTGGACAGATACAAGGTAACTGTGTGTGTGTGTGTGTGTGTGGGAAGGAGAATTAAAAGATAAAACCATATAAATTTCCTAACAAATAATTTCCTTAGAGCATCCTGAGCATGAATGCAACAGAAAGTGAATGCATGGTGTTCTCTAACAAAGGATAAAGTGATTGGTCCATTCCTTTTCCCTGAACTGACCATAACCACCAACTACGGTATGCCTCAAAATGACGATGATCCTGACTTCATTTTCCTATTATATGCTATGGCTCATTTTGGTTGCATTCTTTGTGAAAGCTTGGATAGGCAATTTCTGGAAAGATGGACTGGCTTCTTGACCAAGGAGATCTAACCCTAGTGGACTTTAAGTTATGGGAATATCAAGGATGTCTGTCATCAAAGTACCAGTACTCAGGCTTAAAAATGCTGAAAATCAACCTATAGACTAGTCAATATGATTATGCTATCCTCACTCTTTAGTGCCTTCATCAAGAGAGTTACTGATAGTAGGAAAGGAAGAATCCTGATTATCTAACCTAAAGAGAACTGAAGAATGCTCAGATAATATGAAAGACTAATTAAAAAGATAAGGGTAAATATCAACTCAATTTATGATATTATTAAATTATGAAGAAAATACAATACAGCATCAAATGAAAAATACCACAAAAAAGTATTTATTTAACACAATGTAAATTTATAATTAAAGACTATTTTTTTTAAAAAGTGTTTGCTTTTGAGCCTCCTTCCTTTTCTTTATGGCATGGTCACACCTGCATCTGTAGCAAATGAGTACACAAAATGTAGCAGATACATGGTTTAGGGAGTGTCAATCATTCCACTAAATACTGAGTTGACTGTAGATAAAGTGGTGTGTTCCGACATGCACACCAGATAAAACAGAATGTTGAACAATTAGAACTCAACTGAATTTATTAATGTACTGTTTATATTATTATCATACAGATATTAAAACTGTTACAAAGCTAGCCATGAACTTCATTTAGTTCCATTAATTTGCAGTGACTGACATTTTCATAGGAAACATAACCATTTCCCCACAAGTCCTACTACGTTACACATCTAAAGAATTTACACAGGTTGGCCAACAGTCTCCATTTCTTCAGAAAAATTAAATTTCTACAAAATTTGAAATTCAAAACTTCCCAGCTGTAACTTCAAGCTAATCAGCATCTATCTATATATCTACACTCCATGAAAAATGTTAATGGCTATGCTAATATAGACACCAGAAAGTTTTCTCTACTACTGGATTAACAATTCTATTTCAAGTATGTGCATTATGCAAGGGCAATGTATTGGAAAGAAAATGGAAGCGACTGGTCACGGCCCATTTCAAGGGATAATCCAGATGTTCACCTGGACAGACTAGGGAAAATCATAAAATCTTCATGACAGCCGGCCTCTGGACTGATATTTTCCATAAGGAGCGACAACCACTCAACTCTTACGTTCAATACGTACTTATATTTGAGGTGGCTCGCATGGAATTGTAAAATTATAGACTGGCCAAAGACTCATTTATACAGCATTCTTCATGTAGTATTAGTCATGAAAAAAAGATTTACGTTTAATACTACAATATGAAACGATAGTGGAAAAGTGCCATACAATATGCATACTTAATATGCCTCATTATATGAAAATCTCCCTAATGCATTTCTCCACTCAGACCTTCAATGTGGAATGTTAGAGAGTAGCACCTGCAATGGAAAAACATTGTCAAACAAAATCCTATGCTTCTAGATTGTAAACAAGAATACTGTGTTGCATCGGGGTTCAAAATCTCACGTCTCGTGTTTTTAATTTTTCATGAGGTAAAGTTACTGTAAGTGGCTACTCAAATACTGCTACTGAACTGCAGAAACAACAAGCACGTTGCGTCTATACAATGCTTTTTCGAGATTTATTTCAAAACAAAATGTAGGCATTTCAAGATTCCTACACAAATCAAGAAGAGAAATTAAATTACACAGGAGCCATTGGCTGTTTCATTGCTGATCACTCACGCATATGTGAGATGTTGCCCACGGTTCTCCAGTAGATACTAGAGATGCCTATATTAAATATAAACTACCCTCGATAATGGTGCGTGGCTTTAAAATTTAATCACTGGAATGAACACAGCTAAGAGTCAAACAAGGAGAAAGAAGTAATAGAATCTGGAAATACTAGTATTTTTAAACAGAAGGTTAGGAATTTTGAACTGAATTACTGCACAAATAGGTAATGGGATATTTTAAGATATTTCCTTATGTTTACCTGAAAGAATATGCAAAGCTTAAATGTAAGACGTGTTATGACATTCTACATGCAGATGACAGAAACATGGAATTAGTTCTGGCTTAAACAGTATTGAAAAAGTGTGACGAGTACAAGAAAAACTGAACAACCATCAAATACAAAGTCCACTGTCTATCATCAGAAATGTATTACGCACAACCACACATTTACAGCCTTGGGTTAACAGTCTGCATAATAGGTAAAGGTAAATTTTCCCCTGGTACTTGATTTAAGTACCACACCATCCCGATGTATGAGACATTGTAAAAGTTGAGTTAAGGAAATATGTTCTCCACTGACTATAAGACAGGTTACGATATCAATGAATGTGGGATATACACAGTATCTATCACATTTTGGGAAAGCTAAGAGAAAGAAACTATGAACAAGTTAATATTCATTGATATATAAACATAGACATGTAACAGAATAATGTAAGTGTACCAAAACACTGTACAAGGAAAAGAGAATTTGAATATATGTATGTTCATCAGACTAAACAAAAACTAAATGAAACACAAACTAATTTATTAGTCGACATGTACATATAAAGACACAGAGCTTGGGGGGGGGGGATCTCTATCCATTTTGGACACTTCCTAGGACTAAGAACTTGATAATATGGCAGAAGTAACAAACTATGGGTCACTCCTCCACACACAATAAAACTACAATCAAAACTGAGCTTTAGTCACAAAATATGGTTTTGCCTTCAATACCATCAACCTAATCCAGTAAAGGAGCACAAATTTATCAGATTTACAAATAATAGTGCATAATAATACAATCCTTATGCTACAAGGCCTTTCATATGAGAATATAATTTCTATATGCAAATATAGCTTCTGCATATCAAAAGCAGTAAAGAAATTCATAACAAGCACGGATAGGTCAAGAACAAAATTTCAGGTCTCTAATGCAACAAGTACAAGTCTTCTGGGATGTCATACCATGTAGAATGGTCAATATAGACCAACCTCTCAGAGGCACATACTGTCAGGAGGGAACAACTTTATAATACAGCAATCATATACAACCTCTTCAGCATGCACCCACTGTTAAATATCTTGCAAAATTTATGTAAAATAATATATGCTTCTTTGACCTAATAAAATATACAAAATAAATTAAATTAAAATAAGTTAACCTGTCCCTGAATTCTGATCACCCAGAGACATTCATCCATATATGTTAAAAAACATTATTGTATTCAGTAATATAACTACAATGGCTTGGTAAATTCCCTATGTCAAAATACTTAGAGAAAAAAAGAGAGATATATTGCCACTTTATCATTAAGACATACAAAAGTATCATCTGCTATTACATTATCATCAGCTTCTGAAGAGCTCCATTTGCTTGGTCATGGTGAAAGAACTGGTTTAAATTATGTACTTCAAGTTTCCAATGAAGACCCTACATGAAGAAACACAAATTACTCATGCATCTTCAACATTATACAGATGACAGCAATACACTGGAAGTAATAGCACGGGTCCATGCAAACCACTGCATTAAAAAGGTTGAACAATGCCAGTTAAATAAGCATTTTCATATAACAAGCAAAATTCAACTGACAAAACAATATGAGTCGATAAATCATTTCTGAAAGTAAGGCAAGTCTTGATTGCTGTATTTGTTTGAAATATTTACATGCAACAATGCGAATAAGAATTCAAAACCCAAATGGAATATGTTTTATTAAATCTGCTAACATTACAAAATTACAAACACCCTGATGAAAGGCCTCTATCTTCTCTTGTTTCCATACTTTCAGAAATGAGCAATGAGAATCAGGAATGACAACAGGATTAATATTTATGATAGCTACTGCTAACAGGACTACGAAGGACTATTTATAAGCAACGAATGGAGTACAAGTTTCGGTTATGTAAAATTAAAACCAAATTTTCACCATCATGCAAGTTAATTTACGAATGCCAATGCCTATTACCAATCAACAAAAGAATATAATGAACTCAGGATTCACACAAGCCTACGGAACTGTCATACCGGCTAATAACACAACACTATCTACTCGAATATCCCACCATTATTGGAGTGACGAAAAACATATCGGGTATATTGTTCCACATTTTTTGTGACATGACGTTTCACTCAATTTTGACACTTAGGGAAAGTATTTTTGTTTTCTGAACACTTCATGCAATGAATTCCGGCCCAGCTATAATCGTCCCTTTGCAATGTTTCCGTTCTAGTGGAACCGCAAAAGGGCTGGGCGAGGACCCGTACTTTCACATCGGATTCAACTTCCCAATCGCATACAAATTCGATTCGTAAAAAAAAAGAAGAAAAAGAAAAATTGATTCCAATGCTTTCAGTACGGCTACAAGTAAAAGTACTGAATAAAATGAAATGCCCACTTGGAATAACTTTTTGAAATCCGCCCCCGAGGCCTACAATTAACGCCAATATTCAAGACGATGACCAATTTCTTTGTCTCTCTTTAGTGTTTCACTTCAGAACACTACAACCCCCAAATACTTTTGCGCCATTTTGGAATTGATGTCATATAATGGCAGTCACAGAATAGTACTACCAGAGGGAACGTTCATTAGCTACGTCTTGTGCTGCCATCTTCCGCGGAATAAGTAAATGCTTTATTGACGTGACTTGAACGACTCATTTTTTTTAAATCTGTTTAAAGAAACCCGTTACTTCCGCCAATGTAAATTGTAAGGGCGTAGAATAAATACACACCCCAAGCAAACATGTTGAATTTCTTTATATGCAATGGGAAACAGGGCAGAGATGCAGAAAATAACGTGGCCAACTGGGCACAATGAGCAATACACCTTTTCAAAGAAATGTACAAAAAGCAGCACAAAAGTAAACCTTCTGAATCCATGAGCTGACTTTTGCACATCCCCTTTCAAACCGCCACTTCATTTAAACAAAATGTAGAAACAAAATATATAAACCTTGACCAGTAGGTATATTGGTTACATCAAAGACATCAGAACAGTGTGATATGTTAATGACAAATGAGAATGTTTGATGGGAAATTTTGGAATATTATAAGCTAGACTTTTTGCCATCTTGCTCCTCCTTACTCATTCCATCTTCTATTCCTCTCTTACTGTATTATTTTCCATCCACCATATATTTTTCATCAGTCTTCCTGACGGTTGTAACGTCATTGCCTAAACATACCTGGATTTCAACTCTCTCCATTATAACAACTCAAAATTTCATTCAACTTAATTCTGAGTAGTGTTCAGTTTTTTAGAGTAAGGAATAGCTTTATAGAATTAGTGTGGAAAATTATTCCTGTATTAAATTTTTCAATTCTCTGTTGATTTCAATGTGCATGATGAGAATTGTATTAAATATACAATTTTTTTAAAAAAATATTTTGGCCATTAACCACATGAAATGGAAATGTATCAGGAAGAAGGCAAATGCACAAAGTTTGGAAAAATACTAAGATATGACTCCATTTCAAAGAAATTATCATACAAAACAATGATAGCCACAGTCATACATTACATCCATCCTTTCTGATTTGACTATCCAAAGAGCTCGGTAAAGAGTACAAATTACGGGCCAAATGAATCCAGTTCACACCCTCAAATCTAATTTTCCTATAATATATATTCACATTATTTTTTACCCCTAACCATCCTTCATTTTGTCATACTTTTGGGGAAAATACAAATTACAAAACTCCTCATTATGCTATTATCTTCATCCTCATGTTACTCTCTCACTTACACTGAAATATTCTCATAATGTCCATATAATTTTACAAAACAACATTTAAAATCAGAAATGAGAGGTTACACATTTCAGTACTTTACGTTACCACCAAATCTTATAAATTTAATCCAGATTTCCTTAAAGCAAACAGAAAACCATTACCCCCATACTTCTACATTCCAGCACATCATTTACCATATGCCAATGTTGGTCTTCAGCCTTTAAGATGGAGGCAGTATGTTCCTACAAAATGCTGGTACCTACCTACATGTCCACGTGGCCTTACAACCTAGAAGACTGACATCAACATCTTTGTAAGATTTGAGGTTTTCACAGCGGTGAGTATGAAGATTTCTGTCTTCTGGGTTGTTGCAACAACCCAGAAGACATAAATCTTCATCAACGTCTTTACTGTTGTGAGGAACTCAAATTTCATATCATTTACTGAAATATTTATTTTTGTTGAAGGGTCACTAAGCACATACTGTTTATGAAAATGGTAAAATACATCACTTTTATGACTTCCTTTTTCAGTCAGTACAGGCACAATGAGGCGGTCCCATCTATATGCATGATTCATCTCCCTAATCACATGTTAAAATATATGAAATCTGTGTCTAAATGAAACTAATTCAGAGGTGGGAATACAAATGAAGTTGATTTAACTAATAAGGACAGAGTGACAGTAGCAGAAACTCCAATTTATGTGGCCAAAGCCACAGGGAGGGTCTCCACAATTCAAAAGCTTGTGTTTAAGAAAAACTAAAGGATTTGATTTGTGCACAGAGTATGGCATTTCATCCTCTGGATAATTTATTTCAAATTTTGAATCTCAACTTGTAATTTCTGTGACAGGAACTGTAAAATATTAAGTAAAAAGAATAATCTGAAGTAAAAATTAGTAATTCTGAAAATCCTACATTAGCTGTCATGAACCTAGGTTATTTACCCACATCATCAAAATACAAACTCAGAACTTTACATAAGTGCAGGCATATGACTTTTATCTCTCTGATTAGTAAAAATTATTAGAATTTTAAGGGATGTCAGTTCCCACACTTTCATTTAAAAGTGAAAACTGTATTTAAAAAAATTAAATGTTGGTAAAATTGAAGCAGTGGAAATCTCTCTTTTACTACCATGAAGTAATAGATTGTTTCAAAACATACCACATTTTTCTAGACAACGTGATGTATGAGGCTGTGGCATACTGAATTCCACCAAGCAGTTATTTCTGAAGACTGAAAGATCTTGTATAGCTCTTATGTGAGCATTCATACTTGACAAGTGGAAAATACAAGTATGTTTCAAGATCTAACATGACAGCTAGTTTGAGCTTACTTGACAGATGGCAGAAAAATTATAACTTTTTATGAGCCTGCATTCAATGAGTGACTACTCAGGATATTGCCAATGGGAATGTTTAAATGCTGTAAGCTGTACACAAGCTCCCAGTTCATAAAGTTAACTGTGCCAGTTAAAAAAGTAAAAAGTAAAGATATATAGAAACAAATACTTATTCAATATATGGAAGGATATACAACACATGAAAACTTAAACCAGCTTAACAGACCAGACACTTCTGCATTTGAACATACCAATTAAATTTCACATGTAGGATTTGAGGTTTTCACAGTGGTGAGGCTGAAGATTGCCGTCTTCTGGGTTATTGCATCATGCTTGATCTGATCCGTGGTGTAACAGCTCCAGAGAGCCAAAGCCGACTACCTTGACTGCTGGCCTCACATTCACATGCCCAAGCAGAGGTGAACAATCATCCAACCAGATACAGAGTGACCTGTGGTCAGCACGACAAACCCCCGGCCATTGCTAGTTTTCATGACCGGATTACGCTACTCATTGTAGCTCCCCAATTTCCTCACGATGCTGGGTTGGCACCGGTCCCATACACTGGTCGAAAGCTTATGAGAAAATTTCTTCTCCCAAGAGACTCGAACCAGCGCACATTCCGTATCGCTGGTCTGAAGCATGATGCATCAGACCGCGCGGGACTATTGCACCATGCAGTCTGGTAGTTTTCCAGACTATATGGCGCAATAACCCAGAAGATGGTAATCCTCTAAATTTTCACATTTTTCACAATCATTGATACTAAAAATGAAAGCAAATGAGGGACTGGTTGCCTGCAATAAAAGTGGTACTTGACATGTAAGAGGCAAGTAGGTTATTTGTCTTTCCCCATTACGACATGCAAAAGAGTAATAATTCAAGTCAACTCAGGTACTCACCTGATGCTGTGGCACTTTACTTTCCAACACTACAACTGGGACTTCAGGATTGTCATCTTCAGTTGAGGTTGCCACAGTGACACACTCAGGAACATGGCCTAGAAAGCTCTGCTACACCGAGGTCAAGTACAGATGTTCCTGTGGGAGTTCCAACAGTTGTTACAGGCTGCTGTTGTAACTGTTGTTGTTGTTGAAGGTGATGACTGTGGTCACATTCCTTGAAGATAGCTCTTCGCACCATGTCTGGCCCCCGCTGACGTTTGGTACCAGATAAGCGGCGTAGCTTTGTGAATGAACGCCGTGACAGGATAGGAAGAGGTGTTACTTCAGCAGCTCCACAGCCACCATTACCTTCTCTTCCTTCAGGCACCTCACATAAACCCTTTATCTTCAGCTGATCAGCAGTTTTCAGCAGAGACTACATAAAGAACAAAAGCACACTTAATTAAATTTGAGGTTTATTTGAGATTACTCACACTAAGACATTGCATTCTAGCATACCTAACACAAACAGTCATCACAGTGTGAACATATGCTATAAAGCAAGCCTTCCAAAAATACCCAGCATGAATGTATGTAGTTCAGGGTTCTAACAGTAGTTCCCAAACCTCCTTTTCCCTGGACCACTTGGAAATCGCTGTAGATCTTAGAACATTGTTTAATGATTCTTCTGCAATCTTTGTCCCTATCAGAAATCAAATCTTGGCCTTATCATTTGAATGACTGAGCTGTGCCAGCTTCTCTTATCATTTAACACTGAGTTTTTAAACAATTCCAATAATTATATATGTGAGACAAAATGTGAGATTCTGGGTGTTTGAATGGCTGTTGATTGGCGTTGTACTTCCTGAGCCCTGTGCTAGTCACATAACAAAATCCATTCACCTACTGTCATGCAGTATAGTGACTAGCTACGGGCTGGACAACCGGGGTTCGATGGTATGGTTTATATAGATATTTTTATATGTGCCATTGGTTTGTATTAACTAAACAAGCATTTCTGTAAAAAAAAAATTTAATGACTAAATAAGAGTTATTTTAATCTTATCACCAGCTTTATAAAACATAAGTGAAGCTGCATATGAAAAAAAAATATTGAAGGGCAGCGAGACATTGTCCTTGTCAGCAATTCCCTATTAACAAATTAACATATCTGAAGTACTGTTAAAGATGTTTTGTAGGATCAATCATGATGATTGCAGGCTTCTGGGTTGTTGTGCTGTGTAGTCTGGTAGATTTCCACCAACATTTCAGAAGTCATATTGCCTCCGTCATCAGGGCGATGAAAGTGCCAATCGAGCGGAAAGGACCGGTTACTGTCCAGTCCCCATAAACCTGTCCCTTTCCGCTCGATTGGCACTTTCATTGCCCTGATGATGGAGGCAATATGACCACTGAAACGGTGGAAATCTACCAGACTACACAGCGCAACAACCCAGAAGACTGCAATCTTCGGACTCACCTCTGTGAAAACCTCAAATCCTACACAGGATCAATCATATTTCATTATAATGTGATTGTTTTATGAAGTCTGAAAACAATAAAACCAGCCCCATGAATTCACATGAACACTGGAGCCTGTAATAGCTTTAAAACAGAAAAAGGATATCATCACATACCTGTAATTCAGCTTGAGACACGTCGATTTCTCCACGATAGACAAATTCAATTATGAACTTCAAATCACTAAAGCAAACATCCTGTGGCATAATTATTGTTGGATGTTTACATGGATTTTCTAGGAGCAGCTTCTGAAAGTATGATGAACATGCAGACAACACAACCTATGAAGAGAGAAAAGAGAAAAACACTCCTCAAATCTAGCTGCATAAAGTCAAAAACATGGTATGATTAGCAGTGAATTTGTAAGTCATAGCAACACTATGCACAAGCCTACTAATCTCTGCCTTTTTCCTAAAACCTTAATAACTAAGTCAATAGCTTGTGTATGCAAAATCTTATGTTTCAGGCCTTGGCCTTCCATGTTTGGAACATACATTGCATAATTCTGTATATTTATATGTTTCTGTTACTTCATGACTACAAGCCAGCAAACAGTCTACCTTTGGCTGTGTTCAACCTGATATGAAGCTAGAATTGCTCTCTACAAGAGCAATAAAAGCAACTTACCTAGATTATAAAAGATGCTACA